TGGTATGCTTATATGATATAAAAGTACAAAAATATACTGGATTTTAAACTTTTTTTTAATAATAAGTGTAAATTACAATGAATCAAATAATTTAGGTTATTTTGTGTCAAATACAGTAATCCTCAGTTAACCTCATTACCCTAGTAGCCAGACCATGTTTTGTATGCATTTGAGGTAAAGAGAATATTGACTTCATAAATTGGTTCAGGGTGGCCCTAGAATCATTTTAGCTTGGTAACACGTTTTTAAAATGTGGCAAAATGTCAAAGGTCAGGGTCAAAAGTCATAGTAATAGGGCCCTATCTTCGCAACCACATGTGGTAGAGAGTTAAGTTTGGTGCCAAGTTGTTCAAAAAATTTATATTTCTATTTGCTATAATAGAATATTTTGTTAAAAAATGACAGGACATGCCATTTCTGACCTTTGACACATCTCCGGGTTATATTCACAGGTTCTCATATCTCCGTAACCACTGGTGGTAGTCAGATAATTGTGGTGTAAATTTGTTCAGAACATTCATTTAAACAGATTATGAAGGAGTTGGATCTAAATTTGTAACCAGGAAAAATGATTATTTGGTTCCCAAAATGCACTTTGTTATTAATTATTAATGCAGACAGTTAAACTAGTGAAAGACTACATACTGTACAGTACTCGATCTATTAAGCCAAGTTCTAACTTTTGGTGTCAACTTCTTCATTGTATAAAGAATGCTGCAATGGGCAAGTTTAGATTTTAAAGGTTCTGGAGTTAGAGATTATTATAAACACCTGTAATGTATAGAACTATACATTTTTGCAATACAAGAAAAATCATAGTAAATCAAGTAGACTGTATGGTTACTCATGCTAAATAAGGTGTCTTATCTTACATTTATAATAATATCCTGTAATTTAAATATAAAAAAATAATATAATCATGTTAGCTTTAATTGTAATTACAGGACATTGTTATTATGAAGTAGATAGAGTAGCCGTGCTAGTCAAGATTATATTATTATTATGTAATTTGTGTATTGCCTGCCTGGTTTTTATTGGATACTTGCAAAAAATTTAGTTCAAAATTGTTTTTTGTTTGTAATGTAAGCCCATGGTACTGAAATATGTGCATATTGCACACTGTTCGATAACAATAAGACAAAATGTGCTTCGGGGAGGAAAATTATAGTAAGCCTAAATTGATCTTGACCAGAAACTCAAGTATGGGGCTCATATCCAGAATTGTCCATGTTATTCCATTATGTTTTGTGCTTAACATGTAGCCTACTGTAACCTCAGACACAAGACACATTGACAGTTTTCATATTTTCACCATATTTCATAGGTTATAACACAATTTACACAGCGTGACGGACGTACAAAAAAAATGTACGTCTGTCACATGGTTTTGCTAATTAGTGTAAGTAATGGTAGGCTTCCAATTTGCTGTATACACTTGGTATATCTAGTATGCTTTATAACAGAGTTTTGGTAATTTCTTTGCATATTTTCATTATTTTTAAATATTTAATTAAAAATTTGGCGTTAATTACAAAAAGTCAAAAAATTTCACCAAATTACACAATACATACTAATTCTTTATTTTAATAAAATGTGAATCAGATTCTGATATTTTGCAAGGAAAAAAATTGGAAATTAAAATTATAACTACATTTTCTTTAGTACAGTATTTCAAAATATTAACTGTATTAAATTCCAATTACTTTCCAGGTGGTTAGTGAATTCTTAATTTTTTTTAATTGCACAAAAATATAACTCATTAGCTTCAAAATGATGTATCACACAAACACATTTAATGTATTTTAATTTTTTACCATTTGGTTTACTAATTTACGGAATTGCCCATTATAACATTCTTTGTTAACAGAGGTGCTGTAGTGCATACTACTCATATTGACATTTCATCCTTGAACATTGCACTTCTGAATCTGGAGCAGCATTACCTACCATATTTCTTATATCTGGACAAACCTGATGATACACTATACAAATCAAGGCTGATGTAGCAGCTGGAAGCTGATTACATACAGTATTCAGCCTCATTGTTATTTTAACATTCAGAACCATTTTTACATTCATCATTATAATCCAGTGTTACAAGAGTACCTTTTTTGTTTAGCAAATTATTTACCCCTTCTTTAGACAAGAAAAACTCGGGGACTGATATTGTAACACTATTTTTCAAAATCGGAATTTATTTCCCCATAAGCATATGCAGCACATGCCGGCTATACAGTATACAACAAAAACAAGTAATTTTAGGCCTTGTTTACAGTCATTGTTCTGAAAATCTGGACTCAAAATTTACCAAATCCTCCATAGGTGGTGGGTGTACCTTTGCAATGGTTTGTTGAATTCATCGGGGATCATTTGCTTTCATTTCATTTTTCCTTTAGATGATATCATTATCAATAATAATCATAGCCTGTACCTCTCTAATCAACATTTGGCTACTAACACCACCTCTGCAGACCAGTTATCTGAGTTTTTGTTTAAGTGCTTGTGCTACCTGATGAAGAAAAACAACAATTCATATTCATGAACATGTACATCTTTTGTCAATTAGGTGGGGAAGGTATTGATCTGAAAAAAACATAACTATAAATTGAAAGAACCAGGTTTTATTTTTGTTGATATTTGACTAACAATGGAAAATTATATGGGGTAGTACTCAACCATAAATGAGAGACGCTTACATTGTGTTGTCCTCTGCATTACATCGCTAGGCTCTTCCTTAGTTCATTTGCAAGCCCAAGGCTGCAAGACGATTTTGTGCTTGGAAAGGTGTATAGCTAATAAAAACCAATAATCAAATCCAATTTATACTCCAAGTATTGAAATACACGCCATCGTGTTGGGATTCAATATTTCTTTGTAAATGGATGAAAAAAATGCATTATATAAGGGAACACTAAAATTTCACTGTTCCCTGATTATATCTAATCACTGTTGATCAATAGTTACATTTCATAAAATTTTCATACAATTTTTTGTTTTACCACAGATTGTTGTGGAACATAACATGAAGTAATTCTGATACAGTATTACACTCACTGAAAACTTTGTCATTTACATGCATAAACATTAATTATCACATTATTGTAGCACTCAAAAATACAGTACCAGTATTTCTGAAAAAGTTGTATGCATTAGTTAAATAGGTGTTACTAAGATACAGCATCAATATTTTTCCTCTAAGCCTACATTAAACTTTTAATTTTTTGTATATATACAGAGCAAGGCATCTATGAATTATGTTTTGATTTCCTTACCTGAAATTTATGTATCTCAGCTTTGTTGTCTATGATTGATCTTACTTTCATCAGAGCCATGCTGTCTCCCTATAAAATATATATTAAAAGGCAAAACATTGAAAAACAATAATGCTGTGGGAAGCAATGGCTGGATCTCAGTAGGGATAAATGTTTGATAAGCAACAGCTAAAAATGCAATTGCAACTAAACACCAGAAATAAATATGTACGAACAGTTTTACTTGACGGTTACATTTTATATTATGACAGCAATTATAATAAGCAAAACATATGTAATTACGTTAAAATAAGGCCTGCCTTGATATAGGCTAAGCCCTATCCCGCCCTACTTAAAGCTAGGCCAGAACGAGAAGACCTATCAGATATCCATGACTATCAGCCAGCATGAAATTGCCGCCTTTTCTTTCTTGCTGCGAAGCAGCCAATTCATATTCTAGACAGCAATTTGACCTCTGAAAGGTCATTGTTTGTCAAAAAACGAGTGGCTAAGACGACTGAAAAGCGGAGTTTCCTTCTTTCGTTCTGCCGGGTAAAATCAATTACTTAAGGCGACGTTTGTAGACTAATTTACTCGTACCAACGTCCGCATGTCGGGCTAGCCTTATCCTACTCTAGACTAGCTCTAGGATGGTATAGGCCTAGCCTTGAAGGGACGAAGGTCCCAATGAAAAACAACGTCGCTTTTTGATAGCTAACATTGTCTATTTAACATCACAATAATTCATTATTAGACCTATAGTTGTTTTTTGAATTGTACTCCACAAATCTCAGCCAAACTGGTTAACATCTCTATCTATTGTCGTGACGTCATGGCTCGCTGGCTCACACTTGAGATATGTCTCGCACTTGTGATCAAATAACACGCTGGCTCGCACTTTGGCAACACTCTTTGGCAGTCAACTCGCCCCTAAAAAACCCGCCCTTGGAAACTTAATTGCCCCATAAAAAAATGTACACTTTCTAGACCATGCAGTCTTCAAAATAAAAATTGTAACCTTTGGTAATCAACTACATTTTCCACATACATAGAAATTTTTCTCTTATACACATCTGATGTGTATAAGAGACCACTATAGACACTTTTTGACAAAAATGAAAAATTACGACTTTGTTACTCAATGGGAAGTGTTCTAATATAGACAATAGGTCGTGTCTCATATTATTTGTTATAGTTTTATTATTCATTATTTTCACTTGACTCACATGCAGTTGTACTTCGCAGCACTTCACTTGCAATTTGCAATTTCTAGTTTATAGTGGTAGTGGTATGCCTTCAGATACCATCAGTTATCTCATTGTTGACTTTTTCTTTTCCTAACAGAATCTGTAAAGAGTCAATCTAGGATGACCTCGGTTAGAGCTAGATTTCGCCTTGCTACTGATACAGCTAGGCCTATATCCCATGTGTTTACAAACATCGCGTGTAAAGCATGGGGGATTTCCTCATACAAATAGAGGGGCATAACCAGATATCAACAGATTATCAATCCGCGAGTGATGCATGATGGGATTTTTAGCGGGCCGCTAAAATTAATAAAATGTATAGTAAAGTACCCAACAATGGTGGAATATGGAAATTAACTCGTTGAAAACTTGCAGACACTGTGTCTTTATGTAAATCTTTACATTTTGCAGATTTTAAAAAGGAGAACTGTCTCAGCACCATCTGCTAACAAATCTTCAAGTTTTTGTGAATTGTATGCGAAATGCATTTTTCTTTTTTCAGCCTGTTATAGTCGAAACTTTGCACCAAAAGGAATCGGTTTTGGCGCAGGAGCTGGAGTACTTCAAATGTGATTTTTGCATGGTAGTACAAAGAATATTAGTATATATTTAGATATTACTAACATACTAAGCCCCTTATCTTTTTCAATATTCTACTTTCTTAGTCCTGAACATTTAATTTGTGCACGAAATATTTAAAAACATGCAAATTTTGGAAATGCTAATAATTATCAAAATTAACAATATATACAAATTTTAAACGGTAAAGAAGAGGAATCTGTGAGTGTGAACAAAAGTGTCCCACCGGAATTCAAACTGGGACCTTTTGTTGTCTATGCAGATGCCTCAGTGGGCCACTGAAGCTTGGTTGGGAATTAAAATGTAAATAAGCAATTAGTTTTTTTACAGTTTTACCCATGCAACTCTGTACATTTTTTTTTCAATTAATTTCAGTCTGTAATTTATTATTTATTTTCAGCCTGCTACGCAAAGGGTTACGGTCCCCAGGGAATTGGACATGGCGTTGGTGCCGGCACTCTGCAGACTTACTGAACACCTGAAACAATGTCAAGCAGGCTAGTTCTTGAGAAGTACCAAAGAAATATTTGGTCTTTAAAAAATTTCTACATCAACAAAGAATTTTGTCTGCCAAAATTGTATAGCATGTAATAATTGTAGTTTTATTGAAATATACTGTAGGTATATGTTTTTGTATCGCATTTAGCGGTGTGTGCTATAGCGTATAATTACTTGTTTAATTTAGTTCTAAGTATTTGTTAGGATTACAAACACAACAGCTAGTTCATAATATGGAATTAGATATGATATACAGTAAATAGGAGCAGCCAATAAATGTATAACCACAAAAGGTAAACACATTATTTTATAGATATTTCATTGCACCACAAACTGGCTCATATTTTCGTTATAGTGACAAGCTTATTAAAATTAACAGTATAGTCAAGAAGTAAGATATATCTCACCCATATCATAAAATAATGTCAGAATCTTAAAATCATATCTGAATCACAAGTGTAATGCAGAGTTGTGCAATAATCCCAAGATATTCGGTACACCTATACCTTAAGTGTGATATTGTACTTGTTTAGGTTAGATGTGAATTGGGCCAATGACGAGATCATGAGGCAGTATAAGTCCAAACCAAGAGTGAAAGAGATAAACAGCAATACCTAGTATAACTCAATTCAAACTGTTGGTATCTAATCTTGCTTACTTATTTAGAGAAATAAAGACATGTTAGTTGGTTAAAGTATTCCTTTTGTTTTTAATTTGCTTACTATTAGTGAAATGAAACATTGCAGACATTTCGGATTACAGAGGAATGGTAGACGAAATTTAATGTGGCACACAAGGATATAAATCATATTACATCTGTGCTAAAAGGCACTCCTGTGTAGATAACATATACCCTCCCATCTATTGAGAGAAAAAAAATAATAATACTAGATTCGGAATTCGTCATAGACGAATTCGGTGATACGCTGGGACTGATGATAGTTATTTTGGTGATTTTTGAATGATTGAACACGAAGGAGACTTTTGGTATCAGAATAAAAAAAAGGCATTTAACAAGACATAGAAATTTTTTAATACAATGTTAGTATGTCGACTCAAAAGTGTACGAATTCGTATATTTGATGCGCATGTATGGCATTGTTTTTGCACTAAAATGGCTGAGGGAGAATGGAACTGTGAATTCAGTGTCAGGAAATCATGATATGCAAAAAAACATAATTTTCAATTGCTGTGCGCGTGAAAATGTGCGTACGCCATGACGCGTGCGGACGGCATTGCACACAAATTTGAATCTTGATATGTAGTACACTTGTGTCTTTCGGGTTGTAATCCACCCTGCTGCCGTTTGTTGGGGTTCGTTATGTAGTGAACATGTAGAATAAGGGTTTAAGTAATGTTAATAAATCTAGTCTTCTTTTTCTTATTCTTCTTTCTTTCTCCCCATTTCTGTTTGCACGATATCTCAAAATTGCCGCGAGCTACGCACATGCCAACTTCAACGAACATTTGGCTTCATCTGAAATAGTCATAACAAGCTTTTTAAGGTTGCCAGTCACGCGTGACGTCATCTACGCACAATTTTGATACCTGTTCGTCGTAACGATACGAAATTTCCTTCATATGAACTATAAAATCAATCTGATAGCGTCGAAATAAAGTCTGCCGCCCTCTGTTGGTCTGTCCAATATATTATTTCTCAATAATTGAAGATGAAGAGGTCCAAAAATCATTCATTTTGAACATGATGACGTCATCAAAATGAAAATGAAGGACATGATTCCGAAAGAGAATAGTCTCAGATATAACTTACTCGGAAGATGAGAAACGATTGACTAACAATAAGAACGATACGCTTACATAAATATGTTAATAAATGAGGAAATTAAAGGAAAAAGTTTTTTTAATTCAGATGGCAAAATAATGACGTCACAATTTCCGATCAGCCATTATGATCTATAAAATCATATCTACATCTCATGTGCTTTCAGAATATGTTATAAAGAAAAGGGTGTTACCGATCATTCTAAGGAGATATATCTGATTGAAAATATGTATGATTTTAAGCACTTAAATTTTCGACGCACGCGTACGAGCATGTTATGATGCGCGCACGGTAAATTTGCGCGCATTACATTCATACTTGACTTGAAGTTTTATTCCAATTGAATATGATTTAGAAATGTCAATTATTTATGATGATATAGGCGATTTCAATGATTTGAGGAAAGAAAGATGAATGGTCAGATAAAAAAAATTGTGTTAAAATGATGACGTCATCAAAATGTAAAAAGTCGTGACATTTATGAAAGAGAATTGTCTCAGTTATAATCTTCCTCGAAGTCAGGAGAAAATCGATCAAGGATAAAGAAGATACACTTAAATGCGCATTTTAGCAAATGACGCTATAGATTTTTAAAAAAAATCAGTTTTTTGAATTCAGATTGCAATATGATGACGTCACGAGAAAATCGATCAAGGATAAGGAAGATACGCTCAAATGCGCATTTTAGCAAATGATGCCATAGATTTAAAAAAAATCAGTTTTTTTAATTCAGATCGCAATATGATGACGTCACATTGTCCTATCAGCCATTATGATCTATAAAATCATATCTACAACTTACGTGCTTTCAGAATATATAGTAAAAATTGGGGGTCTCCGATCATCCTAAGGATTGAACCGATTGAAAATAGGCATGATTTTGGCCTATTTCGACAAAAGTCGACAAAAGCGCGCACATGGATTCGTATCTTTTATGAGCGCGTACAGCATTGCTATTGACCCTAAATGACCGAAAAAGATTGGAAATTTGTGAATACAGTGTCAGGAACCTAAAACATGTAAAAAACTGATAATTCCAGCTTCTGAACGTGCGCGCGGGACAAAAAAATACGAAATGCTCAAAATGACCTAAAATATGCTCTAATTTAGTCAAAAAGAGATTTTGAGCATTTTTAAATTTTGACAAGCGCGTACGCACGTACTTTTCTGTGGATGCGCAGACGGTAATGGTGCAGGAAGTTGACACTTGATGTGAAGTATACTTGTGTCAAGTTTCATTGAAAATACCTGTTAGTAAAGAAATTATGGTCAATGATAGAATTTCACAAAATGGCGCATCAGGTGCACAACTTCAGATGTAGATCTATATGCTACGGACGTAGCAAAGATCAAGCATGTGCCGTTTTTGAGAAAATCGACCAACAAAAAAGGTGGGAAAGAATAAAAAAAGAAACTAGATTTGAACTCGTCACTTTTGGACAAGTTTGGTGATCCGCTTGTCCGGCAAAAGAAATCTCGCAGTGCTTAAAATTTATATATTTAAAAATACTGTAGCCAGGATTTTCAAACTGAAATGTTGACGTGTACTTAGGAAAATAGTAGGCATTTTTCGTTTTGACTACGCGGCCAATCTACTACGCACTAATGGGACGTGACGGCAACGCCAAAATACTGTTCGTGTACTCCTCCAAAATTTGTTTACATTTTTAGGTGGCGCCTACGGCATGACGACACAGCAGACGTACGTACGACCATGGCTAACCTTCATAGAACTGTTGATAATCTTGCCTTATGCTACTCATTAGAATTCATGTTGCTGTCTGAAATTAACAGACCGACAAACGCAGACCTTGAATGGTGGAAGTACGACAAGTTTAAGCTGGAAACATTAAATAACGATGAATGTAATGCTTACTTCAGGTAGGTAGGCCTAGGCCCTAGTATAGCTACAGACGCAGATCCCCACCCATCCATATAGAATAGGCCTTAGGCCTAGGTATTTAAAGTACATTTATTCTTAGCTACGTACCGCATCACGCTTGCTCACAGCTAGGGAATTTGTTGTTTGACTAGGCCTAGAGGTCTACTCTAATTAGGTCCCAAAATATTTTATTTTTATAGCATACATAGGCCCTAGCCTAGTTAGTTAGCCTAGTTGTAATTTGCAATGTTATCTGTATCCTGGGGGTGGGCGCCTGCCCGGTTGTAGGTGGCCACCATTACTTGTACGATGGGACCCTTTCTAGGTGACCACTTTTGGGGTATGTAAATGGTGAAAGTCATACGTTTCCCAAGAAAATAAATCATGAAAATTTTAATGATGTTAGTTTTCAACTTGCTTAGTCATTGCATTTGATTTTATTGTTTAAGTTCAAAGTACAGCCTTTTTTATTTTTATTTCAGGTTCTTCAAAGAGGATATTCACCATTTGAAAGATGTGTTTCACATTCCAGATCAAGTTAAATGTAGAAACAACTCGAAAATTGAAGGAATTGAAGCATTCTGTATAATGTTACAACAATATGCATATCCTTGTCGATATATTGACGTGATTAAAACTTTTGCTAGGCCCGTACCCCAGCTTTGTTTAATAACTGGTCAGATGACAAACCACATATACAATATGTTTGGTAGACTTCTAACAGACCTTGATCAACCATGGCTTTCACCAGTCAATCTTGAAAAGTATACCCAAGCAGTGTTTGAAAAGGGAGCTCCCCTTATAAATTGCTGGGGCTTCATTGATGGAACCGTTAGGCCAGTGTGCAGGCCTCAAGAAAATCAACAGGTTCTGTTTGATGGTCATAAAAGGCTACATTCTATAAAGTTTCAGTCTCTGGTGGCAGCAAACGGCATGATTGCCAACATGCACGGTCCTATCGAAGGGAGACGGCATGACAGTTTTATGCTGCGGGAGTCAGGCTTACTGGATCAATTGGAGCAAATGTCTGTTGATACAAACAATGAAATCATGTGTATTTACGGTGACCCAGCATATCCTATAAGACCTCAACTTCAAGCACCATTTAAAGGCAACCTATCACCAATAGAACCGGACTACAATATGGCAATGAGTGAAATGCATGTTTCTGTGGAATGGTTATTTGCGGACATATTAAATTTTTTTTAAATCACAAAAAGTTGGAATGAGTGCTGTGGGGAAAATGTATCTTGTTTCTGCTTTACTGCAAAATGCACACACATGCCTATACAGAAACACAACATGTAATTACTTTGAACTCAGTCCTCCCAAGTTATGATTATTTTCAGTGAATTCTGTTTGTTGGTGTGTTGACACAATAAAAGTGGATATCAGATATAAATACAAATCTCTTTTTATTTAATACTGTTCTTCTGTACTAGTCCAGGTTTGAATGTCAAAACCAAAGTAAAATACAGTATAAAAACCAGCTGTGAAAAATTGACAACATAATAGCCTACATTATTGACATTTTAGTGAGGCCAAACAACAAAGGTTTGCATTAATGTTAACATGACTAAACGATACAACCTAAACAGATACAACATCAAAGGTCAACATTTTTATTCATTTTTTAAAGTCTTAATTCTACTTATATTTTTTACGTATTTTTTTTAAATGTAGACATGTCCAAGCAGTCGAAAACATAATACTGTACTGTACTTGCAAGACCAACAGCCTGTTCAACTCAAGAGCCAGATAAAAATTGAAAATACCTGTCCATTCATTTGATAGCTAGATATTACTTCTCCTTACTCAACAACAACTGCATGAGCATATTCATTTGGGTGCTCTGTAACTTTAACTGCTCCATTATTACATCTGTCTTTTTTTTTATCTTCTGCCTCTCCTTTATTTCATTTGCATTTTTTTTTTGCTATGCTGATCTACTTTGTAGCCATCTATTTTGTTCAGATTTTCTGCAATATTATCCCATAAACGCTTTGCTCTCTGGTTCCCTTTTTATGCATAAAAGGATTTGTCACAGCCATTTCGCGTAATAGTTCAACATCCTTTTCACCATTCCAGTTAATGAAGTTGGCTCTACAAAAAACAACATGCGGAATACAATTAATATGTGCCTAATTAAGCCATGACCTGGGTTTTTTGTGACATTCTTTTATAGTGTCTTTAATAAAGAATGATATATATATATATATATATATATATATATACCATTAACAACTAGACATCTCTTCATTCACATTCAAGCAATACATAGCAATCTTTAAACACTTTACTCGTACCTTGAAGTAGTTGGTGTTTGCCGTGTCTTGTTGATGGTTGTTCTATAGTTGCTGTTTGGATTGACAGTGGTGTTGGATTTTCCATTTTTCCTGTAAATATAATAACTTAAATAAATGCTTTTACATACTACACAACTTTTTGTAGCAGTGTCATAAAACATGGATTAAACCTAATGGAACTAAAACAAGACAGTAAAATTGTGTTTTT